AACCAGAGAAACCCTACAAAACCACAGATTATTCTGCCATTCTGTGCAACTAAAGTTCCTAGGCAGCAATGCTGAAACAGTCACTATGTAGTCAGTGGGCAAGGAATTTCACCCAGAAAACGTAAGAAGACTAAGCTTGCTTTCAGTCTTAGCCCTTTATCTGTGATTGGATTCAAATGGAGCTCCACTTACCTGAGTACTAGTGTGATTTGTCCCAAGGCCAACTTCACTCTATAATCCTTACTCCTTAAAAAACTAAGTCCCAATGTCAGTGAAAAACAGACACGTTTCAGATCCTACAGCATCAGTAATTTGGGTGAGCCTGAAAGATCAGATGCTGCTTCTGAAAGGGGCCCAATCATGAAAGTTAATACACTTTTAAAATCAACAGCACCTCTTCTTTCAGAAGCCTGAAAGAGATGTGTCTACAATAAGGAGTAGCAGCAAACTGAGCTCTCCATTATTCCAACTCAGAAAGGATATCAGGATATTTATCTTGATATTTCCATATCTCAACCCAGATCTTAAATTTTCTAACCTTTATTATCAGGGTGTGCTATCCAATTTTAAAGGAGTTCTTTACGTGGGGGATAGTTCCTACATTCCAAAACTCTTGCATTTCTCATGGATTTCTATCTAACTTAAGCTCAACTGTATAATCTTAAGCAGGTTCTGGGATTTGTGCTATCAGGGTGATGAGAAAGGTCAGTCCTAATGAAAGCTTAGACTCAGAGAGTCATTATGGCAATGCAAAGTTTGAGAATCCCAGCTTTCTAGATGTTGGATTTTTAAAAAGGGAAAAGTTTCCCTGTCCAGTCATGTCCAAATCTAGGGTGCGGTGCTGATCTCCGCTTCTTGGCCAAGGGAGCCAGGGTTGTCCAAAGAACCATGATGGCGCAGTGGTTACAATGCAGTATTGCAGGCTACTTCTGCTGACTGCCAGCTGTCAGCAGTTTGGCAGTTTGATTCTCACTGGCTCAAGTTTGACTCAGCCTTCCATTCTTCCGAGGATGGTAAAATGAGGACTCGGATTGTTGGAGACAAGGTGCAGGCTCTGTAAACCGCTTAGAGAGGGCTGTAAAGCACTGTGAAGCAGTATATAAGTCTAAATGCTATTGCTATTGCTATTTTCCATGGTCGTATGGCTAGCATGGCTATATGCTGAAGGCGCACAGAATGCTATAGCTTTCCCATCAAAGTCATAACTATCTACTTGTATTTGCATGCTTTCAAACTCCTAAGTGGGTAGGAGATGGGCCAGGAATGGGAGCTCACCCTGTTGTGTGGTGCTCGGGTTTCGAACCCTGGCTGTCAGGTTACAGCTTATAAACTCAGCATCTTTAATTGCTGAGCCATCACGTCTGATTTAATCACTGAGACATCTCGCCCCTGATTTTTACCTTTGTTGAAATGCAGCTTTTAAAAACATACTTTATTACATCTGGATTGTTAATGATTGTGAAGGGTTGGAATAACACATTAATACCTTCTGAGAAGATAACATAATCAATTAATATATTCTGAAGGGTAACATCATAAATTGTAGCTGGAACCTGTTATTGCCTAATTTAGAGAATATCCCTGGTGCTGATTTGACTGATTTTGTACAGGGAGCACAAAACTAGTTACAGTCTCAGATGTTGCATGAACCCAGCCAGTTGTGGCTTATTCCACAAAGTATAGCTATGCTTTAGTGCAATGTGTAAACGCCGCTATTTAATGAGATGATAGGTATTCCCTATATTCAGATTTCCAAGCTCAGGGCCCGATATGGCAGTCTATAGCACTGATAATTGCACTGATATCAGCACTACTTCATTGTATAACTGAGCAGGTTTGTTCTGCTGTTTAAATCTTTGCAGCAATATACTTAATGTTGATAAGACATTAACTTATTTTTCCGATGTCAAAAGGAACAGCCTTTAGCCAATGGAATAACCAAAACATGGAAAAAAAGTTATCCACCCTGACAAAATCACTTTAATTATTAATAATATTGGGCTTGGTATGAGTAGCAGGATTCCTAAGCCTCTTTATAGACATTCTTAACCTAATCATTAAAAGCAGGACCTTAAAGAAAGGCATTAGTGCGGACAGCAACAAAAAGAGACTTAGCCAGGCGATTCCCTTTGTGTCATATGACAAACTGATCCGGAGAGTATACTGTAATTTTGACTTCTTCTTTTATTAGAATGTCTTGGAAGAAATTGGCTGCAGAGGGAGGTGGATATAGTGTTTTGACTTTGTATTTTCTTCTTCTTCTAAATGAAAACAAGTAGTTTCTTAAGCTTAAAATAATCTTTTGTTTCACAAGGATTTGGGGGGATAGTCGAATTGGGTAGAGGCAGATGTAACCTATTTCCAAATGTAGAGGAGAAATCATAGAACGCCTGGGTTGCGAGTGGATCTCACCAGTCATCTAGTCTACCCCCAGTTAATCATTCCCAACCCAACCATTTTAAATCCCTTGGAAAACCTTTAATAAAGAGGAGTCTGCCATGGTTCTAAGCACTATTTAACAAGAGAAAAATCTTCCTAATTTTCAGCCAGAATCTCATAGGTTTTTCTTTCGTTTTGAAACAGAGAACAGGTTTCCTTCCTCTTTCACATGAAAGCTTTTTAGATATTAGTAGACTCCTGCCATATCTCTGCTTTGTCTTCTCTTTTGCAAGTAAAAACACGTCCCTTCCTTTAACTATTCTGCATAGGACTTAGCTTCCGGATCTCTTATTTCCATGGTAACTCTTCTGAACCTGCTCCAGCTTTTCTGTGTCCTATTTAAAGTGTGTGCCCTAAACTGGACGGAGTCCTCTCTAACGAAGCCTTACCAATGCCAAATATAAAGGAAACACTTCCTTGGAAGTACAGCTAATCCGTGACTAACGACCGTAACTGAACCTGCAATTTCAAGCATAAGTCATGATGGTTGCAAAATGGGCCACCACGTGACCGTGCCTGATTTCACAACCTTGTTTTGCTATGGCAAACACAGCATTCATAAAGCAAATGCCATGGTTATTAAGCGTACAGGGCAGTTGTTAAGGGAATCCATTGTGTCCTATGGGGTGTGTTTTTCTGTAAACCAGTTGTAACTCAAGGACCATCTGTAATGCTTTTGTTAATGTAATTCAGGGCTGCACTGGCCTTTTTCACAGCTTCCTAACATTGCTTTCTCATATTTACTTAGTGCCCCCCCGCTCCCCCGCTTACTCCTGATCTGTGTTGCTTCTGTCGGGATCAGAACTTTCAGAATGCTGAACCACAGAGGCCAGTTTTACACTTAGAATCACTGGCTGGGTTCACCCATTACACTAAGACATGGTGCTGTTTGGTTAGTTTTGGTTTTGCACGATATGTGTTATCAAGTCAGTATCATTTATGTATCACAATTCAATGGCTTTGCATTATAACAATCTTCCCATTGCGATTCATTCAATAAAGCACAATTAAAAATAAATCACAATTAGTTTAATGTGTGAACAGCCATGGAAATGTGTCACTTTCTCTTACTGAGAGCTGCTGTGTATTTGTCCTATGTCTATTAGTGAGTGTTTCTAGGGCTAAATTTGGAAACTGCAAATAGTGAATGTTTCTAGCTTCCACACCCATGCCTCTCTCTGTTCAGGAGTTCAATCAGAGAACTATAATAGGCCCAAAGTGGTCTGTGCCCTTGACTATTCTGGAGATGCCCACACCTCCCTTTTCCTCATTATACAGCTTAGCTGTGCAAACATAGATGCATACCACCAAGGGGCTTGTAACTTGGGCAGGAAAAAATGACTATTAAATGTTTTTCCCCTTAATTAGTTGTTATAAAACTTAGTACATTGTCTGGTTTCCATACATTGATGTTTATATAACATCTTTGAAAACACTAACATTCTGTTATTTAAATAGCTTAGACTATTGAGAATAGAAAAGAGAGAAAATATTGTGTGTGTTTACAATACCTATTAAAAGGAAAAAAAATCTATTAAAATATCTATTAAAAGGAAAAGATAAACAGAGCAAATTTAATAAGAATTACCAAAAAAGAAAGAAAAACTACTTAATTTCTAACTCATTCCTTTTTATATATCTGCTGATTTATTTGTAGATATTTTTGATATTTTGATATATTTGTAGATATTTGGGCTGCCTTAAGTAGCCAGACTGTAAGTGATTATGTTTGCCCTGCTGTGTGATGTGTTGTATGTGTGGGAAAGGTATATTAAATGTTAGCTCCCACAGAATCAGAATATTAGTGGCATGCTTAAGGAAAATTTGGATCCAAAAAAATTCATGTTACATTTCCTTTAAATATGCCTATTTCATATGCAAGCTGTCTATTACTTATGTGCAGGTTATATGTGCATGTCCCACATTTTTATTTAATACTGTATCATATCAAAGCATGATTATGGCTTTTCAGCTTCCATGCTGAGACTAAGTCTAACTGGGTTGAATGATTGAGTTTTCAGAATTTGAGAAACAGAATCCTTAAGATCTCTGGTAACTGAGATAAAAGTGATAGTTTGTGACTGTAAGTGAACTCTTACACACACACATATATGTATACATTCACAGTTGAACTTTTTTCTGAATAAACCCGCATGGGACTGAAGTTTTAGGCTCTCTTCCTAAATGCATTTGCTAGAAAATCTCACTAAGCATTTTCATGTGAACTAATCTGCATAAGATTGCTTTCCCAATCTCCCAGTTCAATGAATACTAATTAGAAAGCGTAAAAGACATTTTAAGACAATTGCTAGCTTAAAAAAATGCTTCCTGAAATGAAATACTCTCAAATTCTCTCCATGATCTTCCATACTTCTATAATTGTTTTACACTGCTTGCCCTCTTTAGTGTAATAAGGTGTTGCCATGAGATATAAAAGTGCACCTCAATCTCCTCGAAATGGAAAGATTATACATTCCAGTAGTGAATATTCATATACTCAGAGAACTAGCCCAGCAGTCTTTCTAATAGAAACCCATTCAAAGAAATCCAGCAGAACTCACCTGTCCTGATGATTCCTATATTCTGTGCTGTTTAAGAATGTGTGGCTGTCTTCACAGGACCAGCTATTCTGTCTCAAACCAGCTGCCTTTACTGTAAGAGCCCCCAAACACCTGGGAACTGCAGAGACTCCAAAGTGGGGGTGGAGTGGAGAGGCTATGATGTCATTTGAGACAGCATCCATTCATAAAAAATGAGTAGAAGCTGCTGGTTTGCAAATCATCTGTCTCAGCTTCAGCCCTATTCTTTTGACAATATAAAGAGAAGTGAGATATGAGGCCCTCTTGTGGTGAACTGTCTGTTTTCTTCAACTTTTCCAGAGACTGATATGAATGGGAAAGTTGGAGCTTTGCTCATGATAATCAATTATTATACATAATGTAGTTCATGATAAATAATTAAACATGTGCCAGCTAAGCTACTTATATATATAATCAATGAAAAAAGAAGTTCCTATCTCTAGGCTGCCACTTAAAAGACATGATCCAATAGGAAGTCAGGTGGAGGAACAAAACAAGCAAACCCAAGAACTAATTCTGAACATTAAATAAATCCGATGGTTCTCTGCATTCAGTTCAAGGTCAGAAAGTGCCTACTTCAGCTGTCCTTTGCTGTATGGCTATGGAAAGAAAACCAGGCTTTTCAGCTAAATGGCTTTAAATTAAGAAAATGCCTTAGTGGCATTTAAGGGACTTGCAAGTTGGCATTTTACTAACGGGAAATCAGAGATCTGAATTATGTTTCCTAAGTGTGGAATAAATTATGATATATTAAAATAAGCCTTAAAGGTTATGTTCATGTATGTTAAGCCAAAACTGAACTGCTTAACACTGGAATTGCAGATAGCCCAACAGTGTTTTGAAAACTGCACTTTAAGAGCACGAGTGCAAAATGAACAGTGTGAGTTGCATTTGCGCATCTACTGAAAAATAAACTGAAGTGCATCTTAAATATATTATTTGTCAGGATTTTTTATAATTTGTTTTCCTATCTGGAAAGTTATGCTCACATTGCATCTCCTTAATCTAAGGGGAGGTGGGGGGGGCGGGATTATTCCAAAAGGATTGAAAGCATAGTTTGCTAAACATTTCAGTATATGCTATTATGTAGGAGCTACTTTTTTCCCTGAGAAATAGTATCCAAAACAAAGCTGCTGACAAAAATCAAAATGCATTGAAAATTGTTTCCTTCTTTTTACTCATCAATGTTTCTTATTTAGTCTTCCCAGCTTAGCAAAATGCTGGAAACAAATAATGCAAAAGGCTCAGGGTTCAGGGAAGATAATTCTCCAAAACTAGCACACTATTGGACCAAAAGCTAGAAAGCAGACCATGAGTTCCCTCTCATTCCCTACTCATGAAAGCCAGCTGGGTAACCTTCAACTCACAGTTGTTGTTGTGAGGAAAATAGGAGGAGGAAGGTTTGTTGTATATGTTTGTGCCTTGAGCAATTCATAAAAATAATAAAGGCAAGAAAGAAAGAGATAGAAAGAAAGAGAGAAGAAAAGAGAAAGAGGAGAAAGAAAAAGAAAGAAAGAGACAAGGGAAGAAACCAATAAAAGAAAAATCAGGATATAAAATTGGTTGGATCAAACTAGGAAAACAACTTGTTTCGGAAAAAAAGAAATCAAACACATCCCTAAAGGAGACCTAACTGAGTTGTACTTGCGATGGTTCCTTTTAAAGCCTTTTTTCTAGTCAAGGGATCCAAAATGCACGAATCTGCAATTTACACAGAAATATTAAAATATGCAGCACAAGGAGAGAATAGAAATGCATACGCATAGACAGAACATGTTGCTTCATTACACAAAAGAAGATATAGGCACTGTCTATGGTAAAATGGTTGGAAAAGATATTCCAGTATCCAAGTATTTTAGAAACGTTCTGCATTCTTCATATTGTTTTCTAATTGTTGATACTCTTAGCCGCTAGAGGTCAGCCCGTTCTTACATTTGATATTTTTCCAACTTCTGGGTTTCTTTCCATCATAAGCCTTCCTTCATAATGTCTTTTCCTACAATTCTGTTGCTTAATTTAGACAGTGAATGAAACCATGATTTTGGTGTTTGAGAAAAAGCTGTGATGAGTGTCAATGTCACTCTGTTTACTTCTTTCACTGTTAGAAGAGAGAAGCCATCCTATTTTACATGTTTGTCTAAGTTAAATACAAGTGAAAATAGGATTTCACATTTCGAAAAGAATAGAGGTTTTGGGAAGAGCTCATAAGCTATACTCTTTATTAAGATCATATTTTAGGTTCTATCTTGGGAGATAATTTTATTTATTCAATTTACATGCCACCCATTTCGCTGAGCATCTATGAACTTTTAGAATTCTAAAAACCAAGCCATTCATTTTCCTTGAACAAATGAAAGTGCTTGGTACCATTTTTATTTTAGCTTTTGAAATAGGATGTGTTTATTTAGTAAAATTTCCATGGCAACAGTATAGAAATGTCCTGCCTATACTTCTTTTAAGATGATATTTGAGTTCTTAGTGTAGTCAACAGAGAGCTCGAATCTTAATCAAGTGCAACTTTTAAGAGACTATCACAGGAATGATGTACAAAACAAACAATCTGTAATTCAGCTTGGAGGATTAAAGTTTATTTATCTCTTTAAAAAACAGCTTATAGTATCGTTGTGTCTCTGCTCATAGGATATTGTAGTTAAAGTTTTAATTCTTCATAACTGTTTTGTCTTCTAGGTGAATGGGAGCCAGAATATGGTCAGACCATGACTACTGAGAAAAAACAACAGTGATAACAAGTGACAATACATTTATTTATTTCATCAATTTGTATAGCTGCCCATCTCAAGTGACTCAGGACAGCAATGTTAAAATAAGTTAAAAATTGTTCCCATCACAAATGCAAAAACTAAAATAAACAACAATTAAGGAAGGTATCATGTTCTTAACACAGCCAGATGGGACCTTTCACACAAGCACGGCTCCAGGCTTATGTAGAGAACCAGGCCTTTAGGGCCCCACCAAAGGTCAGCAGAGTCAGAGCCTTCCTCACCTCTGGTGGGAATAGGTTCTATAGGGCAGAAAAGGCATGCCTCCTGGGCCTGCCCGACTGGCATCCTTAGCCAATAGGATCCAGAGCATGCCCATCCTACCAGACTGGATCGGATAAATAGGAAGAGATGGTCCCTCATGAAGTAACCTGATGAGGCTTTAAAGGTGACAACCATCTTGAATTGCACCCAGAAGCAGAGTGATGACCAATGAAGTTCATAAAGTGTTACCTGAGCAAGTAACTGGCTCTTTTTACAATCCCTGCAGTGGAACCAATGCATTCTGCATTGGTGAAGCTTTCAAGTGTTCTTCAAGGGCAGTCCCATGTAGAGCACATCCAAACAGGTCACAAAGCCATGAGTGACAGTAAGGCCTCCTGGACGCAACTGGAACACAACCCTAATGTCTGCAAATGCCCTCCTAGTCATGGTTGTCACTTGCTCTTCAATCAGGAGCCATGAGTCCAGGAAGATGCCAAGATTGTGCACTGGGTCTTCCTGGGGCAGTGCCATCCCATCCAAGACGGAAAGATGGAAAGTTCCTGACACCAGAAGGTCTAAACACCTGAAGCCTCTGAAGCTTTGGGGGAGGAGAGTGATGATGGGATCTTGAAATATATTTTAAGTTTGGAACAAATGATGCTAGTTCTTTCCAATAAATTCTAGTTTGCTATAGAAGGTACTTTTGCTTCATAGAATAGCTGCTCTCTGGATTCTTCAGCATCATCTGGAACATTTTGGGGTTCCCCAACCTTTGTAAGCAGTTTTTTTATGTGCACATAATTTTTTCCCCATGTCCACACACACAAAATGTGAGAATCCCCAACTAGCACCTTAGGCAACTCTTTAATATTTGATTTGATTTTGGTAATCAGAAGTCATCCTGTGAGGGTGACCATTGTAACGTAAGGTTGTTAAATCCATTAAGTAAAACAATACTTTACTAATACTATCCAACAGTTAAACTGTTTTAAATGGCTTGATTTTATTGTATTATATATATATATATATATATATATATATATAAGACATCTTTTGTTATAAGACATCTTTTGTTCTCCAAAGACGATTGTAGCGACCAATACAACAAATTTATTTTGCCAAAAAATTTCTTGTATATGGGTAATCCCATTAATGGAAATGAAGCAGCAAACATGTATAGAACCAGAGTGTGTTTCAGATGCACAAAACAGTTAAAATAGAATAACAGAGTTGGAAGGAGAGAAGCATTTTTTTGTTGTTGTTAGTTGCGAAGTCGTGTCCGACCCATCCCGACTCTATGGACAACGTTCCTCCAGGCCTTCCTGTCCTCCACCATCTTCTGGAGTCCATTTAAGCTCACGGCTAGTGCTTCAGGGGCTCCATCCAGCCACCTCATTCTGTCATCCCCTTCTTCTATTGCCCTACAATCTTTCCAGCATCAGGACTCCAGAAGGACTCCAGTGAGTCCTTCCTTCTCATCAGGTGGCCAAAGTATTTTTGAGTTTCATCTTCAGGATCTGGCCTTCATACCACCCCTAACAGCAACATCATTTCTTTGGTGCAGAACAATGGCTTTTTCCCTTCTCTGGGAGGAATCTTCCCATTACACCTTCCCTCCCAATCTTAAAATGCTACCCTTCAAGGAGGCCTATCAGGTTTGGGCAGCAAAAATCCGGACGGCCCCTCAGAAAGGTGGCAGAAAACGTGAATTGTTGTTGCCTTGGTATTTGGAAGCCCAGCTCACTTGTCCCACGTCCCATCCTCTGCGATTGCACCTAGAAGGCGGCATGGCCAACCCACCGATGTAACTTTCCCCAAGGGAGTGCCGGTGAGAGCAGAACCTTTTGAATGAATTGCTGCCTGCTCAACTCGCAGAAAAATGGGAGTTGAGTCGACCCCGCATCCGGACCCAGCTTTCATAAAACAAAACAGGCACTAAATAAGGTTTCTCTCCCCCTCCCCTCCCTCCCCCGCAAGCACAGAGGGAAGTCCCCCTTTTCGCCGACTCCCACGGGCTCGTCGCCCTGGTCCACGTAGGCAGAAACAGGCAGGAGGCTTGCTCCACACAGGGCTCCGTTACAGAGCTGCCCGTATTTGTCACTTCCCGCTCTTTCCCCGCCAGCGAAACCCAACCCCGCAAAGCGGCTGCCAGCACCGGCCTAGGTTCCCGGCCGCCTCAGCCGCTCGTGGCGCGCTCCCACCGGGGCACGTGCACGGCGCGGTGGGCGGGGACGCGTTTGGCGGCGGCGGCGGCCGCCTGGCCAGGCGCGTCCCCGCGCGCAGCTTCCTCAGCCTGCCACTTGAGCCGGGAAGCCTGCCTGCCGCTCGCTCGCCGAAGCGGCTCCGCTGCCCATCGCTGTCGGGAAGGGAGGGGGTGAGTCGGAGGGGCGGAAGGGAGGCGATCCCCGTGGCTCCCAGGATCTTGCAGGGGAAGCCTTGAAGGAGCAGGTCCCAAGTGGATCGTGGGTGGCTTATGGGGGGGGGGGGGGGGGGTCTGCTTAGGTTGTCAAATGGGCGGAGGGGTCACTGCTGGGCGGAGGGGAAGCGGGGCTTGGAAGGTCGGCCTGGCGGGGCTGCCTCCTCTCCCCGATCCTTGGAGCGAGGTTGGGGGCAGCGAAGGTGCTGGGGTGGGGTGGGGAATGGGGAATGGGTGGGGAGCAGATGGTCTTGTGGGTTCCCGGGATGGGTGGGATCAGCGCAGGGGGGCGGGGGGGGGAGGAGAGGAAAAAGGACCCTTGGCGGGTGTTGGAGGAGGAGGCAAGAGGGACTGAAGTCCCTTTGCCTGGATAGCCCAACAATAGCCCAGCTGGGACTATCGGGTTGTAGGAGGACCAGAAATAGTTTGGCTGTCACTTTTTCTTAATGCTCCTGAGGGGAAAGATTCACATCTTGGGCCTGGCTGCTTTAGAAATTAGAAGATATTTGGGTATTATGGAGGCAATAGACGGAGCTCTGAGATGAGAACTTTTCTTAGAAGGGAAGCAAGCAAGCAAGCAAACAAAACCCCAACAGTTCATCAACCTTGAGTTTCTTTTTATAGTAAACCATCTGTAGGAAAGACTAAAGAAATGATATGCGAATGAGGACCTGTGGTTTTCAGTTTGGGTCTTATTAACTTGTGTGGCTCCCCGATCTTTATTTATGAATAGTTTTGTATTTTTGTAGGATACTATTATAATATCATTAATATATGTAAGCAATACTTTGCATTCTATTAATACATAGTAGGTTCCTGTGCTTTTCATACCATAGCAACATAACAAGCAACAATACAGACCCTTTTAAAATGTAAATTGTCATCTTATTTACATCCTGATAAAACATTTACACCTGAAATTCTGGTAGTCATAAATCTGGTAGAGGAATAGGATTTAATTATGAAACAAATTAACATTCCAGCTTCACTGTCTATTTAAAATTTAAAACTTTGATTCAGGCATCGGTTTAAGTTATTTTTTCATGCTTATTTGGCTGTATAAATTATTTTTAGTTCAATTGATCTGACTTTTGATAAGTATAGGTAGGTTTAATTTGATGATGTGCCTAATTTCACCCTATTGTATATCTTCATCAGTAGTTATTCTTACTGTTTTTTTAACATTTTGCTTTCTTTTTAAGCCCTTTCATCATGCTCTTGAGCTTTTCTTTGGAGAGAAAGAATGAAAACATTGGTTTGATTTAAATACTAAGTTTCTCATTCCCTTGCCACCTTGAGATGAAATGTTGAGAGATGAGTAAACATTGCACAGTTTCAAATACAGTGAGCTTTAAATGTTGGTAGATGCAGGAAGAATTTAGTTGATGTAACATGATTCAAATGACTCCTTTCTTTTCTGTGGTTTAGTAGTTTAGGGCTTTAGGAATATGATTGTAACTGCACTTAAAATCATAGATTACGCTTGGATGGAAAAATGTTTGAGTAGGAAAGACAAGCGAGTGACAGCTACTGAACTGGCTTTTAACCAGACTTGCTGTTTGGATCATATTTTGGACTTGTCCCAAGGACTCGTTCCATTCTGATAGTTGTCTTTACCAGCAGTTGCTGTGACACAAATATATGTTTACACTTAACATTGGAAACATCACAAACAGGATAAAAAAAACAAAACACCTTTCTTTTCATGTAAGTCTCTGCTATGTGATCTTTCTATTTTACCAAAACAATGCGTTCATCTGTTAGCTAAATTGCTGATTAAGAAAGCATATTTCAGAGGTTTCATTAAAAGCAGCCCTAGTTCTTTAAGGAATAATTGTAAATGTAGATTCTGGCCTTGGAAACTGTGCACGAGCATGATGAGCATGATGATCTCATCAAGCCGGTACACATGAACCAGGAAGTAGAATGCTGGTAAAATAAACAGACTGTTTTGGGAGAGACAAAACAGCTCGTTGAAAAGAAAAAAGATGAACATGATTTTGTAATTTTCATGTTCAAGTAGCCAAGCAAACCAACACTTCCCTGTTTCTGTTTCATTTTTTTTTCATAAAGTAAGATTTTTCTTCTTGGTGTATGTGGAAGATAGTATGTTTAGAGATTATCCTCTGTGTCTCTGATTTTTACTTCCCAGGTTTAAGAATTAAAAATAAATACACATGGGAGCTACCACAGTACAAACTTTATCTTATTTAATGAAAGGCAATCACATTGGAATTATAAATACAATTTAAATAACTAGTATTTTACCTATTTTTATGTATTTATTTGTGTGAAATGGCATCCTGCCATTCTTGTCGGGGAGGAAAAGAAGTGGCTTACTATCTTCTTTACATCAGTTATACATACCGTACAATTATAAATTTACTTCTTTCTCTAAAGTTACAACATTTCTCTCTTCTTTCTGTAATCTATCCTGCCTAATAGTGAAAATCATGTTCATTTTTTTCCTGTTTCTGCAAAAAGTCCATAAGGGTTTCCAATAATAAATGTAGATTTCTCTTTAATCAAATAAGTCAATTTGGCCATCTCATCCATCCATCATCTTCACCAACCATTTCCAATTGTAAATAATGCCAGATCTTTCCATTTTTGTGCATGTAATAATCCGCTGCAGTAATCGCATACAAAATCAAAGTACCATAACTTTTTTTTCCATTTTTTTAACCCATCAACTCCAAAAGAAAGACCTCTGGTTTCAATTTTATATAAAATGTTAAAATCCTCTGAATCAATATATATATTAGAATTATTTTTTTTTACTTTTTTAGATGTCCACCAAACATGATAAAGTGTCCTTTCTTGTTGTTCATATTTTCAGTATAAATTTGAAGTGCCTTTATACATTTGAGACAATTTTTCTGGTGATATATACCAACCACACATCATTTTATAAACATTATCTTTAAGATTATAACATAATATAAACTTCATCCTTTCAACCAGGGGTGAGATGCTACCAATTCGGCCCGGTTCTATAGAACCTATAGCTGCGAAGAGCAGCTGACACTGAACCAGTTTGATGGTTGGCCTACCCGCCTGCCCGGGCTCTAGACTGTCTTTTATTCCCTGCCTTTCCCTCCTCAGCTGCTTTGCACGGCACAACTGAGGTTGAAAAAGCAGGAAACAAGAGGATTTTCAAATGCTGCCCACCCTCGTGCAGCGCTTATCAGCTGTCCAGGCAGCACAGCTGATGATTTCTTCCAAATGCTGCACACACGTGTGTTATGATTGTCCACAGTTCAGAGAACCAGCAAATTGCTCCACTAGCTGGCCCCTCCCTCCCTGCCCACTCACTCCTTACCTGGCATGTGAGCCATCTAACTTACCTGATTTGGTAAGTTACTATTTTTCCTCCCACCCCCACTATCAGCTGTTCTGCTCTGCCGGGAGATTTAGATTAGCAGGAAAGCAGAAAAGCAGAGCCAAACCTCCCTTAGGACTGAAAGTTGTATTATTAAGTGCAGACTCAGATAGCCAATGGCAGAAACACAGATCTCTAAGTGAATCTGTGATTTTGTGAGCAACTCAATCTGCCTGCCTGCTTTGCCTGCTTTTGGGTAAAAGTTGCTCTTTTTTTTATAAAAAATCAATATTTACATAAATATTTATAATATTTACATACAAGCCATGCCCACTCAGTCACATGACCACCAAGCCATGCCCAGTCAGCAAGCCATGCCACCCAGTCACATGACCACCAAGCCATCCCACAGGTTGATAAGAAATTTGAATCCTGCCCCTGCTTTCAACCATATATTTTTTATGTATGTTATAATAAATATTTAGCCCATTTTATCATACATTCTTTCACTTGTTCTTCTGTTTCCCATTTCAATAAAATTTAATACCTTTTAGCAATTACATGTTCATAATTTGTACACGATTTCATTTCAAACTCAGTCCTAAGTGCTTAAAACTAAATTTTTGTCTAGTTTAAATGTTTCTAATAACTGAACATAAATAAAAGAATATTCGACAACTATATTTCTTTACTACCAGTTGTCTTAATTTTATTTTACATTTCCCTCGACAAACTTCTAATGTGTCATAATGTTAGCTATTTATGTTTGCCTATTATTTCTCATATATAAAATACTTTTTGTGCTGAAAGCCACAAAAAATGTTTTGGGGTATAACCTGGATTTGCATCTATTTCATATTCTCAGTATGACACATCTAATATAATTATTTTTGAAATCCACATTAACACTGACTTTGCCGTACTAGATAACCATGCCATCCAAATCTCCGGTCATGTTCTAATCCTCCCCCCACTTTTTTTTTTTTCCTCCTGTTAAGGCCTTAAGTTTAAATTATGTCCCCCCCCCCCCCCCCGCCTACAGAAGTTTAGATCCAGGTAGTCCTCACCTTACAACCACAATTGAGCCCAAAATTTCCATTGGTAAACAAGGCAGTTGTGAAATGAATTTTGTCCCATTTTACAACCTTTCTTGCCATAGCTGCTAAGTGAATCACTGCAGTTATTAAGTTAGTGATTGTGATTGTGAAGTGAATCTGGCTTCCCCATTGATTTTGCTCATCAGAAGGTCACAAAACTGATCACATGACCCCGGGATACTGCAACCTTCATAAATACAGGCTAATTGCCAAGCATCTGAATTTTGATCATGTGACCATGGGGATTCTGCAATGGCCATAATTGTAAAAAACAATCATAAGTCACTTTTTTCCAGATCCTTTGATTGATTGATTGAATTCTTTATTGGCCAAGTGTGATTAGACACACAAGGAATTTGTCTTGGTGCATATGCTCTCTCAGTGTACATCAAAAGAAAAGATACATTCGTTAAGAATCATAAGGTGCAACACTTTATAGTCATAGGGTATAATAAGCAATCAAATCATACTAGGAATATAAATATAAATATAAATCGTCAATATAAATCGTAAGGATACATGCAACAAAGTTACAGTCATACAGTCACAAGTGGAAGGGGATGGATGATAAGAGTGATGAGAAGATTAATAGCGGTAGTAATTGCAGACTTGATAAATACCGTGTTTCTCATATAATAAGGCCAGATCTTTTTTTTTTTTTTGAGCCCCGAAAAAATGGCTAGGCCATCTTTTTGGGGGTGACTTAATTCCCCCCCTTGCATCTTCGGGCAGGTGGCGACGGCTTGGATGTTGACCTCGGCGTTGGTGGGGCACTTCGTATCGGGATCAACTCAGGCAGCACCATATCCGGGTGTGCAACAAAAGTACTTCCTAACGGCAAGCCCCCCCACCATTCCCCCCTTTTTGCATGTTTTAATATGGGCCTTAATTTGGGGGGAGGGGCTTAATTTCATATCATTCCTATAAAACATGCTGGGACTTCCTATTGGGGGAGGCTGTATTGTTGGAGAAACAGGGTAGTTGGACAGTGTTGTGGGAATTATTTGTTTAGCAGAGTGATAGCGTTTGGGAAAAAACTAATTTTGTAACTATAAGTCACTAAATTAATGGTTATTAGTCAACAACTACCTGTATTATATATCCTTTTGCCATGTTTAAATGGTGCATCAGTTCTCAAAACAGGTATTGACTGAGGTTATTTAAATATTTTGTGTGAAATGCAAGCCTAAATAGGATCTTGTCCCAAATACCCTGAGACTATGTTTATGCACTTATCCTAATTAAGTCAGGTAGCATTGCCCATAGCCCAAAGAAGGGGCTTAATGTTCTCCCCTACATTGTGACTAGAGAAATGGGAGCCTAGACTTGTCCCTCGCTGTCTCTTGCTCAAATATTTTATGGAAATCTTACGTGTTTGAAATAATTTTGAGTTCTTGAAAGGTATAACTTTGACATAAATTAGAGAAATGCATCTTTTTACTTTGCTGTTTAAGAGTTAACTGTCTCTGTTTATCCCTAGGTAGATTCCGTTGGTTAGAAAGGAAAAGTTCAGAAGAATAGGATAGGATGGGGTGTCAAACTTGAAGGCTCACAGGCAGCATCTGGCTCATGGGGTGCTTAAATCTGGCCTGGAAATATCAAGGGACTGAACCATAGTGCCTCTGGCAGCTAAAACAGGCTGTGTGTGCCCCCCCCACCCCGCACCTCATTTCCACCCTCCATGGCCTCCTGTAGCACTTTGCTGGCTGAAACCAGGCTGAAAAATGGGCCAAAAACGGCCTGAAAAACAGGCCAAAAACTGTCCCGAAAATGGGCCACGCAGTCTGTTTTTGGCCGGCAGAGTGCTGCAGGAGGCATCCGTCCTGCCTCCCTGCTGCCCCCAATGCACCCCCTCCACCACCATCCCACAGAGGAGAATTACAGTGATGATCCAGCCCTCGAAGAAATCCAGTTTGACATCCCTGGGATAGGAGAGCCAGCAATTCTTGATATTCTAAGGGATGATTTATGGCATGATATCTATGACATTATTGTCTATGACAGTAAAGTTAAATTACTTTCAAATTGGGCTCCACACCCTGTATCTTAATTAACAATCTATATTGTTTTCTTCAAAATAATATGGAAGTGATTTGCCATTGCCTACATCTAAGATGTTTTTAACTTCCCAGTCTGGCCAATGGTAGTGATATTTCCTGGTAGTTTTCCATCTAGGGAACGTGATCTGACCCTAACAAACCACTTGAGGCCAGGTGAAGTCAGCAAACACAGCTTGGGCAAATATGCAAATAATAATAATATTGGAAGTATGTTATGTGGGGCAGTGGTACCATTTTATCCTGGTTAAGATCCAGGGAACAAGTTTGAAGCCACTGCTATTCTTGTTACTTACAAAGACATTAAATGATCCCCCAAAGTATAGCTCCATACTTAACTGTTTCCCGTTTTAGAAGTTTTTGATTTTTTGAAGCCACCACTTAAATGAAAACTTGACTGTGCTATATAGATCATGTTTACCCAGAAATAACCTCATGAGTTTAATTATGCATATCCTAATTAAACATAGTCAGGTGTAACCTTTAAATGTAATCTTATAATATGTGCTTGTAATTACAATATAAATACAGCCAACTTAAGGGAAAAAATTTGCAATTTTCAGCAGTACTTCCTTTAGCATTTTTTAAATGTCTTGCTTCTGGGTATCCTAGAGTCATGTAATAAGCCACTTGCAATGGGATAAACAGGATGCTGGATTATAGTGATATAAAGTCATCTTGTGCTTATGTGTGGCCTGGATACTTTCCCCCCAGGGATGAAAATAAAAGAACAAGGAAGAATGTACATTTCTTCTCATTTTAATCTTACTAGACTATGTTTTTATATAGGAGATCTTTGCACAGACAACTTTTTTTTTATCATTTCTGAGTCTGGAACCATTGGTATCAATTGGTGGTTTTTTTTATGTATGTCTGCAACATTTGCTCTTTAGATATGCAATGGGATTCAAATTTGCAGAGGTATCCAAATACACTGAAGGTAATTTAGGAAAGGTAGATACCTCTATACCTGTTTGAATGATTAATCTTTCTGATTAATCATTTCTGTATCTGATTAATCTTTTCTCTCTGGTTTGGAATGTGATCAAACTTAGAAACCTGCCTTCTGGCCCTGGATATAGAATGCCATGATTGGTTTTGTGGGAGTGGTCAATATTATGGAATTAATTAAATCAAACCGGTCAGTCCTAGAGGAAATCAACCCTGGCTGCTCTTTAGAAGGCCAGATCCTGCAGATGAAACTCAAAGACTTTGGCCTCCTAATGAGAAAGAAGGACTCACTGGAGAAGAGCCTAATGCTGGGGAAGACTGAGGGCAAAAGAAGAAGGAGACAACAGAGAAGGAGGTGGCTCAATGGAGTCACTGAAGCAGTAGGCATGAGCTTAAATGGACTCCAGAAGATGGTAGAGGAAAGGAAGGCCTGGAGGAACGTTGTCCATGGTGTCACGATGGATCAGATACGACTTCGCAACTAACAACAACAAGCCTCTGACTAAATTTTTATGTAGGATTTTATGTAGGGGAAGCAGAAGCTGCTCAGAAAGTGTTATGGAATGGCATAACAAGTGTCATAAATAATAATCAAATTTACTGGGAAACCAAAATTGAATTCTTTTGGGTCTGGGCTGTTTCCTGATGAAGGTTCCTATCATTACCAAGATGTAGCTTTTACTTGGAAGATACACTTAAGACGGTAGTCACCTCTACTTGTTATAGCCAGTATGCCTAACAACCTACCATATTCCATTCAGAGGAATCTACAGGTTCTGATTCTTTCAATAAAATGATGCAAGCAGCAATGTGCAAGCTCTACCCTTTTTGTATAAGCATGTGATATCACAATACACACAAAAAAACCAGGGTGGAGCATGTCTTGTGTTTTGTTCCAATACTGCTTTCGTCATTTGCTTACCTGAGCTATTTTTGAATACCTCTGGTTTCATCCACACTGGGTGAATCAGCAATGATTTGAGGTTATGGCTCAAATCCAGAATATACTATAATTTCTTTCCTTTCTAAACTCTCCTCTTTCCATCACTGTGAACAGGAACTCTCCCACAGGTATAATTTTCATTCTCTTGGTATGAGCATGTGTGATCTCTTCCCATCCTTTCAGGAAGAGATTCATTTATAGGAGGAACGTTTTTCTATTTCCATTCTTACTGGATCTTTTCCTTAACAACAGTGACATCTTATAAAGCTGTGATGTCCTAATGTAATATTTGAAATTATGAAATCAGGCTACATCAGTAAACTTTCTTTTTTTCCCCCCAGAAAACAAATATTGAATCAGAAGATCTTGTGATATTCTTCAGGTAAGACCAATGTGTTTATTGAAGAAGTGTTTGTCTCAGATTATGAAATTTCTGAAAAAAGAATGAAACAGTGGACAGCTTCAAGAAATAATGCTTGTTGGTTTATTTATTACATTCATTTACCACCCATCTTGCCACAATTATGTCTGATTGCTTTGAGATTCAATATCATATTGATATCTCTCTTAAGCCTAAGAACTATATTGAGTGATAACTTTATCAAGATGTACTTTAAAGATAGGTTAATTCAAGGTGTCATTCATCAATGAAAGGTCAGATGTGTGTATTGCTGCCTCATGTATTATTTGGTCTTTGGATAGTGATTGCTTAATTACATGCAGGATTTTTTCCCCAGGCATTTTTCTGTATTCATGATTTGTACAACAATTGTGTGAAACACTCTCAGATAATCATGCCAGCTTTCGTGTAGATGTAAAACACTTGCGGTCTGCAAAATATGTCGTTAATTTAAATTAAATAGGGAAGATATTAGAGTTAGTTAAATGTATTGATTGTTAGATGGTCTCAAACAATGTACAGTGAGTTAGGCAATCTGTTAATCTGAAGAAATAAAATCAATTTAAGTTTATACATTTTTGTGCACACGCATTTCAATCGGCATTTGGAATTCTGGGTGATGTAAATCAAAATTAAGTCACATTTTTACTGTTTTAGAATCTTTACTTTAGAATTTTGCAAATTAATGTAACTACTTTTTCATTCTTTTTTTCAGGAAGATTGCTTCGGAGAGGACAGTTTGGAGAAAGAAACGTGTATGTTTATTTATTTTTGAACTCTCACTCCAATTGCTTTTCTGTAGGATTCCACTTATGTGCCCCAAACTATAAACGTAACACTTGGAATCTTGCAGGGATAAAAGCAAGTTGAAGAATGGCATGATTTGCAATACGTATTTGAGTTGGTAGGATTTGAATTAGGAATCATAGACTTTGCAATGCTGCTGTCACTATCCAGATTATCACATTATGAATTATTATTTTGGTAGGCACTAATGTTGGGTTCCATACATCTTTTCAATTTAATATGTAGTTTGACTTTTTGAAATTGGAGTTACAAGAATTGGCATTCTAATATTCTCCAAGTATTTTGGATGATGATTTCTATAATCCTATTAGCAATACTGGATGGAGCTAATGAAATCTGAAACATCTGGAGGGCATTGTATTGTCTGTCCCAATAGTACACTAATGGGATAGAAAAGCTTAAGGGAGTTCCAACTCCTGATGTAAAATGGGAAATGGGAAGAACAGAGGTGACCTGACTCAAGAGAGAAATTCACATTTAAAAGCTCAGTGATGCAATAATTAAACAACACTTGGTAACTTTATTGATGTCAACAATTAGCTATTTCAAATCAGTTTGTTCTAAATTATAACAAAGTCTTCAAACTTAAAAGTAATTTTTTGATGTTATAATATTTCTGAGCTTTCTAATGCTAATTTTAACTTTAATTTCATGGCAGCTAAAGGAATTTGTGTACTGGCATCAATATATCAATAATATAAATTACTGCAATGATATGTTTTGAATTTAACAGATAGTTAGGAGTAACTGACAATTGTTGTCCACAAATGTTTTGTTAAATTGAGCTTCATTTTAAAGAAGCACTAATAATTTTTAAACAATTATGTTAATTAAAAAAAGAAAAATATAGTAGAAAATGATGTTATAAATAGATCAATACCAGAAATGTGTCCATATTATTTCAAAGTTTCTTCCTTGCCCTCCGTCAAATAGATAAAACAAACAAACAGAAAACTAATTCAGATGTTTAATGTTCACAGACAACACAACAGCAGTGTATTGCTGTAAATAAGAGTACAGATTTCTATACTGCTGTTTACTAATTCTTTTAATTATTTCCTTGCTCAAAGAGTTGACAGTTCTTGTCACATCAAAGTAGAAACACCTCATGAGTTCTGCCTTCTGACCACCAGGCTTTTGAGAAAAGCAGTGTCTTAAGAGTCTTCAGAAAGACCAGCAGGGTTGGTCCAAATTAATTTTGGATGGGTGGAATGGGGTTCCAAAAGACAGATACTGAAACAGAGAAGGCATTTTCCTATGTCCTACAATGACATTCTTTAATTGGCAGGATCAGAAACATATCCTTGCTAGATCAGATGGGTTAAATAAAACATCTAGAAAGAGGGACTTTCTTAGTCCCATTCCATGAAAGGCTTCATAGCAAAAGCAGGATTCACAAAGAATACATTGAATTGTAGGTAAGGGAAGAAGGAATCCCTTTTAACTTTTCTGTTTCACTGTAAGTCCTATCACATAGAGAAAAGCAACGAGGAACTGCGTTCAGTAATCTTTGGTTTCATCTCTTGTCATTAGTTGATATCTGAACATTGGATATATCAGAAGTCATGGCGGACTGGCTTCTAATTGGACTGTTTGTGGCAATGGTGCTGCTTCTGTTGCTGACGATCTTCGGCTTTGCTGTTTATTCGGGACTGTTTACAGAAGTAATTGTGAATGCGGGTTTGCCCCCCATTGGCAACATCACTGTGGCATACAAGTTCCAGGTGGGGCCTTATGGTGACTCTGGAAGGTTTTTTACAGAGAGCTGCAGTGTCTCTCCAAGACTGTCTTCTATCGCTATCTACTATGACAACCCTCACACGGTAGGTCACCCTTGAGAACTACTTTTTGGTTTGTCAGACCTGAATTCATTACCACATTTAACTCTACATAAAATTGCAGAAGATAACTATGTTTAGTGTATGATGGCAAAATACCAGGAGGAATCTTTCCTGACAGACACATTTAAGTTTTAAAATTAATCAGATGCATAGAATGTCTAGGCTGAAAAGAATGGCTGTTTTGATTTTAAAAATCTGTTTCAGTTCATGATTCAAATATATGTTCCGTTTTTACTGTTACACGCACTTTATCCTCACAGTAGCCCTGTGAAGTAAATTAGGATGAGACAGAATGGCTGGATTACTCGTTGAATGAAGAAATGGCTATCAGTTGTTCAGGAACAGATAGTCAGTTTATTTCTGCATGAAAAATAATCTACTTGGTCTTATTGCTTAGGATACTATATAGTAAAAAAATGACAGACCTAATGATACTGATAATTTTCCAAAATGATATGATATCAGATGCTTGGGATGTTAGGGATGAAAGTTTGTCTTTAAGCTAAAAGACTCATCTCTTGGGACTTGATTTGGCGCATAAACATTAAAATGCATGTTTCTGCTAGCATTGTTTTTTTAACATCTCCTTTTTAAAGGAGAAAATGTGCATTTGCTTTAACTATGTGTGACGTTGAGGTTCTGTAAAATCTCAGTATGGAGTGAGATTGTGATCTATTTTGAATATAATTAAGAAATCAGTCTGAACTGCCAAATAATATGTACATGTTTTGGAGCCTCTACAAGTGCCCATTATAAGTGAGGGAATATTAGGTAATAACGAAAGGCATCATATGAGATTGTTACCCCAATTTATCATCCATCAAATTTTAGAATTAGAAGAAAAGCATGGTCTTTCCTCCAGAGTCTCTTCCAAATAGAAAAACCTATCAGCCAGGGAATATTCCCACATCAACCACAGGGAATAAAAGCAAATAATATGTTATATATAGGGAACTTTAAGAAAGGATCAGAAACACATTTGGGAGAAGAGGAAAGAAGCAAAATGGAACGACGTTTCTCAGAGAAAAATCCACATATACAATCAATACCTGCAATTTTGGCTTCAAAAACCGTAGCACAATTTTTCTTGCTATCCTTATGAGTATCATAAGGCTGAGCAAAATCAGATACAACATGGGTGAAAAATTCTAAAAGAAATTGGTCAGTAAATGAAGTACTTTAAAGATTTCCTCAACTCTTTAGAATCTAATAGACTTTGGAAACGCAACTATAAATCTGGCATTATTTGTAATATTTTAATGAATAGAAGATTCTGTATTCTGCTTTCAGATTTAAGAACTCTAAGGATTCATTTCCAATTAATAGAGCATCTCTAGGAGTATTGCAAGGGAACAAATTACCTTAAAGGAGACTGATAATAAATTATCAAAACAAGTCTGTATTGTTGGATATGGTATATAAATATTCAATAATGGTGTATGTATAATAAATGAATCTGTTTTCCAACTCTGTTTAAACTCAGAGCGATTTAACATAAACATTACTTGATATTTGACTTATATATTGCAGACTTGAACTTCCAAAGAAATGTTTAACTCTTTTTATTAGTTTCTGATTATTTTGTCTTTGTATGCATTTGAAAGTGGTATGGATCATCTGCTGCATTTATAATTGAAGATTCTGTTTATAGTATATTTATGATATGTCTATGGAGATTTTCAGTCATCAAGGTCATAGTTGTCCTAAAGGTACTTTTCCAAGAGGCGACTAGTTTTTCTGGTTTTTTAAAAAAGATGTTTTGCTTCTTATCCAAGATATGATGCTATTTATAGCAGGGGTGTCCAACCTTGGTAACGTTAAGCCTGGAGGACTTCAACTCCCAGAATTCCCCAGCCAGCTTTGCAAAGCTGGCTGGGGAATTCTGG